GTTGGGGGCAATATGCTGACTCTCTGAAAACCACTTAGAGAGGGCTGAAAGCCCTATGAAGCGGTATATAAGTCTACTGCTATTGCTATTGCTTTTGGAGCTCCTGCTCAGCTCCCGAGCATGGAGAGGGCTTAGGTGGTTTGTTTTAAATGGATAAAAAGATCTTTGCTGCTCGTTATCAAAATCCAAGTGGAAGTGAGGACACTGCTGCTCCTGATGCTGGTAGGCAGAGGCAGAATTCTTTTTTTCTTGTCTCTCCCCCTCCCCCACCCCAAATTAATGCATCTTATATTCCAGTGCATCTTATACTCCAAAAATATGGTATGTTCATCTGTTGTCACACTAAGTTGTAAATGTGAAATAAGGTTACAGGGATGAATCTTTAAGCTGCCCAACATGGTTCCTGTATTTGGGGTCATTAATACAAAGGAGACATTTGAAGAGTCAGTTCTAAACACAGTTTGCATCTGAAGAATTGAGCACCGTTGTCTACAATCACAATTTGTCATTAGGTTTGAACTAGCAAGTTACCTTGTTTAAATCCTTTTTAACTTTAAAAAGATACGCGATTTCTTTCAAATTTTAGTAGCAAATCATTGTTGATGCTATAAGTATTCTTCCAGAACTTTAGAAAGGTTTTTTTTTAAAATAAAAAATAAAAAAATAAAAATGAAATCATTGACCTTGCTCATTGTAGGACTCCTGTGAAATTGAAGATGCAACTTGTGTCTTACTATATAACATGAATCTTAGGAAGAATCACATTGCCTATTGCTGAGTGCTCCATAATTCATGGATGTACAATCACATCATCCCCCCAAGGGAGCAGTTTACACTCAAGTAACATTCAAGTCAAATCAAACCAATCAATCAATTATGCTGTGTATTTTCTCACTTACTTCATCTCATCACAACCATTACCATGATATATATATATATATATATATAAGGGTAAAGATTCCCCTTGCACATATGTGCTAGTCGTTCCCGACTCTAGGAGGTAGTGCTCATCTCCATTTCAAAGTCGAAGGAGCCAGCGCTGTCTGAAGACATCTCCATGGTCATGTAGCCATGGCTGGAGGGCACACGGGACGCTGTTACCTTCCCACCAAAGGTGGTCCCTATTTTTCTACTTGCATTTTTTATGTGCTTTCAAACTGCCAGGTTGGCAGAAGCTGGAACAAGTAACAAGAGCTCACTCCGTTATGTGAAGCTAGGGATTTGAACTGCTGAACTGCCGACCTTTCTGATTGATAAGCTCAGTGTCTTAGCCACTGAGCCACCATGTCCCTCCCTCCGTATGCATGCATGCATGCATACATACATACATACATACATACATACATACATACATACATACACATACAAATCATATAAATATAAATGTAAATGTAAATGTAAATAGAAATAGAAATAGAAATGTAAATGTAAATGTAAATAGAAATAGAAATAGAAATGGAAATAGAAATAGAAATAGAAATAGAAATAGAAATAGAAATAGAA